GTGTTGGATACGTATTAATAGATGATAATTGTTCACAAAGGTGTGTTAAATTAGTACCCGCCCACGCCGCGTCAGTTCTGCAGCTGCGTGTGCCGAGAAAACAGGTATTATTGCAGATCCCTAGTTATTCATCGTGATGGGCAGTCGTCCTTCGCCAACTATTAACCCAGAAAAGCGGGCTTTCGGTTCGCACATGCGACGCTCGTTCTACAAAGATGTGCGCACTCCTACTGGCTCGTCGGTAGGACGCGTAGCGTGCGGCGTGGACTAATGACACACCCTCAACGGTCTATACCATTGAATATAGTAGTAACTAGTAAGGATATGTAAGGATAGAGCTTTCGTATGTGATTCTATAGTGTTTAGCAAATCGTGATTACTTCACCCGAGTCAAGTGTGGAAGCTGATAAATATTTATTACATATTTTTGTTCCCTAATGGGACATGCCATTGATTGGTCAATTGGTGGTTTCTTCAGCACATATCGATCTTCTTGCAGATCACATCAGGTTTTTCGTCATTCAGAATCATCTGGACGATTTTGTCAAAATCCTTGTCGACCAGCTTGATACAGTAGTCGTCGATTACAGGCATATCGAAGATGTTCCTGCAGTCTTGTTCAGCTTTCTGAAATGAGGAACGGAGATTCAGATAAGTGCCTGGATATGCCAGTCTTGTTTGCTGCGGGCCATGGGGCATTTAAAAAGGGTGGGGGGGGGGTGGTGCGGTGCCAGACCGTCTTCTTTCTAGGCAAGTGACAAGAGAGTATCATATCCTTAGTACCAGTCGTTTGCCGCCAATTGTCGTCGCTTACTTGCTTCAACCACTAGTGGGAAAGGGACTGGCTGCGCGTCAACTTTAGCCTCCCTGACACGCCCATCATCCACAATAAACTAGACTTACCTTTTTGAGGTTTTTATCCTCTTTGATCTCCTCCTTATCGAGACCTTCAACGAACTGTAGACATACAGCACATTCGAGACCTTTTCCAAGGGTCAACGTGACGACGGAACCGAGCAGAAGACAGGTTATAAAATGATGCATGACTGAAAAGTAGGTTAGATTTTCATGCACTCGAAAGGCGCAGCCTGCTATGCGCCCTTTTCATCGCCTTCCTCCTTTTGCCTTCTCGGGAGAGGCGCACCGATGACAAAGGCCCAGGGTAGGACTGTTCCATGAAGGATGTGCGTTGGTGGAGCCGTCTAGCCTATGTAATCAGCGCGGAATGGGCCTCTGTTTCTGTCGACGGTGGGGGAGGGGCTTGTAGCGGTGAGTTAAGAAAAGTCCAGGGTACTTCCGTGAGCATTATTAAGCAAATGAAGATGAGAACGAAAAGAGAAGACCTGACGTAATCCAAGTTCTATACTATAGTACATGCGAGTGCAGGAGAATGTTGAGAAATTGTGAGCTAAGGTAATGAGGGTTCAAAAATTTCCTGGGATATTTCTATTTAAAACAAGTGTCATCTTGTTTTATGCTGGGAAAAACATGACATGGCATACCGTTATCCTAAAACGGCAATATCCCCCAGAACCAGAGCTCCGCGATTGTTCGGTCGATGAGGGATTACAAACAACGCTTTCTCCATAATGGAGTACGGAGCTAATATTCCTTCCTATAGCTGCCAGGCATACGAACAGTCGGCAGATGATAACCAATCGTGGGGGAGCGCCCTTCTTCTCTTTGGATATGCGACTGTTATCTACACTCCCTATGATAGATTTTGATGTGCAGGCGGGCATTTTTTGATATTTTATTATTTTACAGCGAACGACGGGCGGTGTCTTGTCGAAAACATGTCGGCAGCTTATACATATACGTCCCACATGGAGCCGGGCGGAGGAGCGTGCTGCGTACTCCACTCGAACACCATTGGCTTGGACGCGTTGGTTAGCGTGGGATATTTACATTTTGATACCAAGTTGGTTGTTCTGGACAAATGTCATTATGTGGGAAGTGTTTGGAGCTGCCGCTACGTTTAAATCAAGTACGCAACCACGGGCTCTCCATCTCTGAGACATAGAGCGCTAACTGCCCTACTATATAAAAGGTCAACATAACTGGTATTTGGGCGATCAATGTAAGAAATAATGAAAAAGGGCGAACTATGCGAACGGAAGCAAAGCAGTAGCTGCTTATCAGGTGGCAGCAAATGTGATAATGCGTGACACGGCCATCTGTTGGCCACCCCGAAGAATTCCACCAATTTCTTTGAGAAAGTGTCGTCAAGCGCTAGCCGACCAACCACAACTCCCCTCCCCACCCACCAACTGCGACCCCTGATGGGATTCTCCTAATGGGTGCTAGCACGAACAAGTGAGAACTCCTCCAACCACGCCCTTTCTTCGTCTTATGGACATACGACCTCAGGTCGTCATGGTGTTCTATATAGGGCATTTTCCATGATTTTTTTTCCTGTTTTTTTCCTTCTCTACTGGAATCTTGCTACCTTGTTAAAGTTATTATCTGACCCGCATAACTCATAATTTTTGAACGCGGGCTTTGCCTTTTAAGCAGCGTCTTTTTTACGCCTTAGGGTTAGTATGAGACCCTGAAAGTGTCAAGTATGAAAGCTCTGCCCGCGGCTGTTGCCGGACTGCCCCTTGAAATTGTACAGCAGAATAACTTACAAATGGATTACGACTTGTATGGCTGTTTCACTTAAAGGCACATCAAAGGGCTCGTAAGAATGGGTCAAGGCCTCTCCCTTTTGTGATGGCAGCGTGGAATTGAGGATAACATAATGGTCCAGGCGGCTCCGCCCATTCTACCAGTGTGGGCTGTGCCAGGGAGCCAGAATCCATGCATTATTTTGAAATGTATCAGAATTAAGGGCTATACTAGCGATGAGACATAGCATTCAGCGGTCGCGATGACGCGCTTCAACACGCTATCGTTGTGGTAGCGCTATAGTACTGTAGGCGGGAACGCAGTCATAGAAGGCGGGTATTGATCGGGGCCGACTGCTGCTACTTTGAGAGAGTATGGGAGAATAGGAGGATACACGTTGCTTGACCATACAGTCTTAAATTTATTGTAATACTTAGTTTCTCCCGTGCTGTTGAGCACATCGGGCGACGAATTCTCTCCACTGTTGCCTGTCTTTCGCATTATCTTGAGCCTGGCAACCTCTTATTCTTCTATAACTCTCTCAAAACGGCTGGCGCCGATTGATACCCGATCTGTGGCTGCGCTCCCGTCCACAGCTTGGAGCGAGGTTGCAATGGCAGCGCGTCGACGCGCGTTACTGCGTGCCAGAGCGCATCATCGCGAAGTCTGAACGTCGCTTTAAATATACCGCTTGTTCAAACAGTCAAGAATTTATCGAATCAGAACTAAAGCGAAGAAATCCAATACCCATAGTTACACTAAAGTACAGTATCAGGAAAGACGGTGGAACGGCTGGATCTAAAATGTACAATCTATAGTCCTTGGTTTTTGAGAAACTTGTCGATGTCCTCCATGTTCGAATGCAGCAGTTTACTGTTCAGACGGACGGCCTCCGTTGCCTATAATGTGAATAGGAAAGGCTACCTCAAAAGCGAAGTGCTAGTATAAAGCTGTGTCTCACCAAAGCAGATTTACCTGTTGTATAGGGCGGTACAACGTCTGGAAATCTTTTGGGGAGAGATTATGACAGAAGAAGTTTTCCACTTCTTGAGCAAGCTCTTCCGTGCATTGCCGCTCAACAGATAATTTCAAGCACCTCTGGAAGGGATAAGAGCGAATGCATCAAAAGGGACGATGCTTTGGGAAGTCCTCTAGGAGAAATACCTGGAACAGGCTGGATCCCACACCGCCATACTTTCCCGCCAGAGAAGTCATATTCTCTTTAAAGTACTTCCAGATAAATTCTTGACCTATCCTACTAAAGCTTGCACCAAAGAAAAGCAGCATATGGTCTTGTGCGCGAACCTTCCCCTGAAAAACAGTCACATTTCTTATATTTCACAATAAACTTGGGCTTGGCAACTTGGCAGTGTCAGCCATGCGCCTAACGATGGCCACGCACTGCTCTCTTGCGCCGTTTTACGTACATCTGTACCAGTTGATTACTACAGCTTCATTAGGCATGGCTTCGTGCCAGCACCTTGGCTGGAACGGTCTACGGACAACTAAAACTCAATACCCTTTAATGACGCTTTCTCTTTTTCTCTGCGCTCTCACGTTTGCATGGCGATTTGTGACCGCATTGACCTTTCACATTCCAACTTTTCACACATAATAAGTGGCTAGCCCACCCCCCGGCTAGCCCCTCCCCCCGTCCTATCCCTCTGAAAAAGGTCTCGATTCGATTTTTCAACTTACTTAATGGTTTTTCGTCTAGGTAAGTTACCTCTCAACCTTGTTTCTCCAATAACTAACCCGAGTGAAGTAGCTCTGGACAGGGAGAAATGATTGCTTCATGTAAATCCCCCTTTTTGCTTCATTCCACTCGGTTGGTATTGCTTTCTTTAGATGTGTATACTTAAAAATGTATGTCGTGGTGGTTTCGAAAGCTTTGAATCTAGCTCGCAACAAGTTTTTTGTACCTCTCGATGCCTTTGCGGCCGCAGTTCTTTATTTCTCTGCGCTCTAGGCCTTTCGCGGCAGGACCCCCACCAAAAGTTTTAGTTGTCACGTAACCGGCTGGAACTGTCGCCTTGGGTGCCCAGAGGCAAACGCTTTCTGCCTCTCAAGTAGTGGGAAGAGACATGAAGGAATGTCAATCTTATGCGCATCCCAGTGGCGAAAGTGGTACCCTTCCAGCTGCAACTGCCCATCTCACTTCAGAGACAGTTGGCCTCGCATCTAAGCGCACAGCGTGCCATAAAAGTGTAAAGCTAAACGTCAAGACTTACTTCTTGGATGGCGCACTTGAACAATCTTTCGAGAAGCTTGGCATCCTGTGTCTGTGAAAGTGCTACGATACAATTCCGTTCCACTTCGGTGAATCCTGCCGTCTCATAGATCTTCATCAACTGATCGAAGGCCGTTTCACCACCGTGACGTGCCGCGGTGGAGAATATCTGAAAACAGTGGCTGATCCAAGGTTCCTTATCAGAATCTTCAATAATCCGAGGCCAAATCAGTACTTCTATTGACGCTAGCTAAGTAAGCGCCCCTGCTAATTCGAGGCTGGGTCAGTACCTCTGCTGAAAATCAATCTGAAACAAGCGAAGACGTACGCATAGGCGGAGATCGGGATGGACAGGTCTCTTTGACGTGGCATGATCAGCGAAGAGCGCGGAAGCTTTCTTGATAGTATCCTCGTGTCCAGCCCTCATCAAGCGATTATGAACCACAGCTCGAAGAAGGTGACGGTGGGAATCTTAACTATTTCCTTTGTCATTAACGAATTATTAGAAGATTACCATGGTTTCAGGAAGACTAACGAGGAAGTCAATAAAATGAGACCCCCAGAATGGAGCAAGCATTTTTATCTATTCCGTCAAATTCTTAAAGTTTTACTTATACAACCAATTTCTTTCACTTTCGGCTTTTGAAACGAGGAAAAAAAGCATTACTATGCTTGACGCCGCTTTACGCGCTAATCAGATGGGCGGAGAGTCACAGCCGCCTTTTTCTGCGCCGTACCAAAACGAAGGCCGCACCAATGGAGGAGAGGCACTCTAGTTATGAGTTCCCACCCATCCGGTTCCCTCCTTCTTAAGAACTAAGCAAAATGATAAAACTTCTAGCGATAAAACTTCCAGCTACTTTCGCCTTCATGACAGTCCCAAACCAAGTTTTTTTCCGAGTTTCTCCATCGTCTTTATAACAAATGAGTCGAACCTGTGGGAAAATTATATTGTAAGGATTAAGATAGGTCCCTTATGGAACAAATACCGTTTACTCAATGAAGCATTTGATGCTGCGGATAAATAGCAACACATTTGAGATATCATCGATTCCACCAGACAATGACTGCCAGACAATGTACTCTTCTTCGTTAGGCAAAGCTGCCAAAACTGAAAGGAAAGACGACGCTCGAGTGCGTCCAGATTGAACCTGAAAAGTGCGCCATAGTCCGAGAACGAATTCATCGTGAATTACCTGGGTAAACTTACCAGAGCAAACAAGTCATTGACGATAGAAAAGCGGTCGAGAAGCTGCATTTTGCCATTGGAGATGTCAGGAATCATAGCCTTTAGCATCTCCTGGCTGTGGTCCACACGATAGAATCCAGTTGAACCGGCGTTCAGCTGTAAGACATGTAAAAAAGAATTTCCTTGAATCAACGACGGTCAGCTAGTTCTGAGGCGTCTGGCACAAGAAATTGACTCTGTAGAGATTGAAGCCTATGTGCCCACAAAGAGTACACAATTTTAAACTGCTGGCATGATTCTTATGAACTGTATTGGTTTGGGCGCTACTGTGATTTCCCAAGCAATATCAGCTTGATTCATGCCGAAGCCAGCTCATAGGCAGCGTTAGACTTCGCGACGGCAGTGCTTCGATCGAGCGATCCAAGCGCTGCCATCGTGAAGTCTGAACGCTGCCATATAGGCAGTCACGGACGCGCGCTAGTGAAGACGACGAGAGCTGTGCTAGCAGCTGACAACGGTTTGTCAATCGCTAGCGTGGCACCTCCTGCCCTTATAGAAAAAGTTTTTTTTTTCATATAGGATCCTCTGTCTGTATTTCCCCCTCTGGTAGGTCTCCCCTTTCCCAACCACCATCCTATCTAGTTCTTTTCAAATTTTCCCACCTTCCTAT